ATTAAGTTCTGAAAAAATTGAGCATATTTAAGTCGCAATTCTTTTCATGTTCATCCTTTTCTGTTTAAAAATAGAGAAAAAGAAAATCAATAATGGGACGGCACTGCCCTATTTCTATTGCCACTTTCTTAACTCATTTATTTGCTAAATTTGGCGACAAAGAGAAAACTTCGAGCACTTGAGAAGGTGCTGAAGCTTGAACATCATGTTTAATAGTTTCAAAAGCTATCTAAAGCCAGTATAATTGAAGGAAATGATCCTGTTCGTAATTGGAATTGGTTCCTTTTTGTAATGTGCCTAATCCCATTATGTATAAATCTAGTCATTGATTCACATAAGTAACACATAAAAGCTTAATGCTGGGATTCTTGAATGTGTGGTTTTCACGAGAGTACAAGACTTGGCATTCATGTTACCTAAATGTGATTGCGCAAAATCTTGCATTATCGATGCATGTGTACATTTCATTGCACTTGGTCCAATCTACGTAATCGGCTTGTTTGTTTGCTTTCGCCTTCTACAGGTCCAGAATCACATTTAAATGTAAGGTTTAAAAAAAGGCTTTTACGAGGTTGTTGATGTGTATCAACCCAACACACAATAAAAAAAAAAAAAAACGGTTTACCAAGCCGTTTTTTTTTTAAATAAGTAGAAATCTTAATTCAGAAACCTCTTATTTACAATCCTCTCACATCTTACCGTCCAAGAGTCAATCAATCTACGCACAGCTTTTACAACGGTTTGTGTGAAGCAGGAATATCCTTTTTTTTTTTTTTTTGAAAAACATACTAGGGTTTGTTGTTTACTTAGCTGGATATTGAAAGCAAAATATTATTGGCTTTGGTGTGAGAATTGGGACTGATTATATTCGTTGGCATGTGCCCTGTGCCGTGTTCATATGCAATCAGTTTTTCCTCCCTCCAATACAATTTGGACATGTTGAGTGATGATTTGTTAATGATTGAAGAAACAATGAGTGAATATCCTTAATTTCCACTAAATTAGGTGAACTACAGCCTCATTTGACTACGTAAACGGTTTGACATCAAAACGATCAAATTTCATATCGTGGAGATGCAGAATTGTTTCCCCGATTAGGCTTTGAGAAACAATTTTCTTGGATTCTCCTGAAATGGGGAGATCATGTCCCTTAACCTCTATCTCTTTAGCAATAAAATAGGGGGAAATAATCAGATTGACAAAGATGTTAACCCTTGTTTAAAATGCCATCGTCAGTTTTTTAACAAATCATGAAATTGTTAGGATTTGCTGACAGTACACACGAAGCCAAGTCAGACCAAAATAGTGGATTTGTAAGGCCAATTGTTACTTCCATAAGGTCGAATATTGAGATAGTGATGTTGTCTTAAAACATTAAATCGCTTCTGCTTGAGAAAAGAAACACTACCAAGAGCAAGAACTGCATCTTATTTTCGCCTGCAATAAGCCAAAAAGCAAGAATTTTAGATTTGATCATGTATTGGACGCTAATTTTGTGATCATATCAAAATGTTCCCCCTCTCCCCACCACACTCGGCATGCATTATCATTAATTTTTTTAACTCTCTTATCTTTGTTTACAAGTTTTCTATCTCCAACTGTTAGACATTGAATTTGATAGTAACGGAAGAATTTAACGACCCTCCTCTCGTCACTAGATCGAAAGACATTGCCATTAGTAAGTCAGTGAGTGAAAACTATTAAAAAAAGGATTAATCTTTCCTACACTTACAGTGTATACACTATCAGCATTGGATGAATGACAACTATGCAAAATTTGAATTTGAAGTTTAATATTTGCACACATGTCATGAATTAAATGGAGATAGTGTATACACTGTCAGTGTATATAAGTTTTACTCTTTAAAAAAAAAGGAAAAAAAGAGCCTTAATCATTTCTGGGGACTAATTTTCAGATACCTTCGCTAGAAATTAGGAATTTTTGGAGAAGATCAGTCTGGCTGCGTAGTCTGACCCATTACCCAATTGAACCCAAGCCCGCAAACCATACGTCCCACAATAGGAAGGAGACTGCCAGAGCTGAGAGTGACGTTAAAGTTGAGACCAGTTGGGAGCCTTTCTTTATACGTTCATACTGACAGTGACATCAGTGAGTTTCATTTCCTATTAAGCCCTCGGGCCTACCAATAAGCCCTTTCAGAGACTTGATCCACTGAACTGAGTTTCAATTGGGCTTCTTCAATTGGCCTTGTTTGCTTGACCAAATAATCTTTTTTTTTTTGCCAGCAACAATGATTGTTTGTATAACCTATTCTAGTATAACCTAAGGATTGGAGGAGGGGAAAGCCACAAATAGTGACTAGTGGAAGTAAGTATCGAACCCTTGATCTTCTATCTCCACCAAGACTTAAAGATGTCTTGGTCACCAATAGCCCTTTGGGCTGGCTATTGGCTGCTTGATCAAATATTCGATGTTTCCTTTACAGGTATTTTGAGAATGTGAGAATGTTTGGAGCGCATTACTATTTAGAGCTTTAGTTTTGCTATAATTACTCAAAAGTCTTTTGATTCAATTAAACATTGTGGGGTCATTTTGTGTAAGGAGAAGGAGTTAAACCAGCAATTATTATTTTGTTTCTTGGTTTATACTAAATTATTATTTTGTTTCTTGGTAGGAAAATTAGTGATTTAATTAATATAAGTTTTATGTCCCAACCACACTTTCTTGGTTTTTTCTGTTAGTTTCTTTTCGGCTTCCAGTATATGTGCAGTTTTATTATTGTTATTGCTTTACTCCCAGTCTCGCTATGTTTGGCCTAATCTATGCTTGGCTGTTCACATTGATGTGCATTTTCTTCCCCATTTTTATTTTTTTTTGGTTTCTGATATGATTTATTTTGTTAAAGCATAGTTTTTGTTCTAGATTGTATCCTTTCATTCTAAACCACATGTGATATTTTACTCTAATTTAAGTTCTAAATTACTGTTTCCGAACAAACTAAGTTAGTTTTTATAATTTAAATTGTATGGTTTTGCTTGAATAGGGATGAGGCATCTGTTAAAAAAAAAAAAAAAGAAGATTTACTGGGAGTATTTGGAATAACATGTGCAACACTTCACTATACATGTATTTAGTAGCATAATTGATTTTGGTGGTGGTTGCTTCTTTATCTCTCTATTATTTCACCTTCTAAGAAAGTTGATTGATCGATTGACATATTAGTTTGTATATTTGATTAGTTTTTTAGTGGAACTAATTGAGTAGGTTATGCATGATTGAATGGTTACAGCCAATTCTGAATTATTTTAGTAAACACTATGGAAATAATTTTATTCTCAGGTGATTGGTTAGGATCTCTGGTTATCGTAGTCTAAAATGACCACACTAAATAAAGCAAGCAAGTTGGAGGAGCAACATGGTGCAAAAGCATGGTAAAAGTGTGCTTTACTGATTGAGGAACAAAAAGAGTTTGAACTGCAAAAATGCCGAGAGACTCATCAAAGAAGAAAAGAAAATAGTATTGTAATCGATAGAGGTATATATGCACATATAAAATGTGTGTTTGGATTGCAATTTTTTTTTATAGAAAATGTACTGTAGCGATTTGATATATGTGAGATAAAAAGATGATTGGAAAATGTGTTCATAGAAAATATAGAATTTTTTTTGTGAAAAATCCCTTGGTAAACTTGTTTCGGAATAATTCACTATGAATCAAGTCAACGACATTTTTACACACGTGATTGGTGTGTGATTATAGTATGGATTTTTCATATTATTCTACATTTTTTTTTGCTTACACAATTAATTAACTTATAATTTACCAGGTGAAAAGCTTGTTGGAGACCATGGTGTAGTGATCAAAATGAGAAGCTTACATTGAAATCAAGTTCAGAACCTTCGTATGAAAGCTTATGGCTCTTTAGAATACCGGTTATTGTTGCAAGTTTTGTTATAAGTTATATCCTTATGCATAAGCTTATGGTTGGAAGTTTTGTTATATAGGTTCGTTTTGCAGAATGAGAATAGTCATTGGTTCCTTATGCCACATTTTAAGCATCTCATTATGGTTATTCAAATTTTTGCAGACTGAGAATAGTCATAATGGTGGAACCACTGAGCTTAATTTTTGCAGACTGAGAATAGTCATAATGGTGGAACCACTGGGCTTAGCTCAGTGGCCACCAGGAAGGGATTTAAGTCCCTCATTGGGTTGTAGGTGGAGATTCAAATTCCACTTAAAAAAAAAAAAAAAAAAAAAAAAAAATTCAAGAATGATGCCATAGCATCTCCTTGGTCTAGTCAGGTTTGCATATCTATTAGTTTCTAACACACAAGTCTCCTTACGCTCTCTTCTCCTATAAATTAGGATAGAATACGTTATACAATTGTTATCGTTGTTGGAAAAAAAAATAGTCATAATGGTAATTCAAATTTTTTGAGAGCAATTTGTGCTTTTATTACAATATAAATTACAGGATTCTAACAGCGTTATGGATATTGTAAATTTCAAAGTTGCAAATATACTAAAACTCTCTCAATTGATTTTATATCATTTGGAATTCTAAAGATTCGTGAATGTATTCATAAAATCGCGGGTGGCATGAAATATTTGAAATACAGGATAAAGCAAAAGAATAACAATAAACTACTTGCAATTTTAACCTTCAAAATCACGACGAGTGTAACATTCCTATTATTTTATGATAGAATAGCTATATAATCGAAAAAAATTAATGGCTGACCATAGTGCGTAACTTTCAAATTCGGTGTAACCTTCCTATTTTTCTCAACGACTCTCTTTTTTATTTTTAATTTCATCAAATCACTAGGTTTTGGTCTGTCGCCTAATCATTCAAATGTCTGCCTAAGAATTCAGTGTGTTTGGACAGGAGATTATTCGTCCAAATTTATTTGCTTACGTTATCATTACAATTTTCAATATATTTTTTTATTTCACATACATCACATCACAAAAAGTGTTACAGTAAAAATATTTCAAATAATTTACTATCCAAACACACTGGACTCAAAATAATTGCAATTTTAATTGTCTCGTGTGGTTTGCATTGAACCGAAGAACAAATGGACATAATCAGGAAATAAATGTACAGCCTGAACAATAGCAAAAGCTAGTTCAAACTCTCCTGTATTGCCTAACTTCCCAAACTAGTCAAAATCAAGAATGTCGATGTCTTGAAAAGTAAGTAGTACTTAAAACTGAGCAAATCAAGCGGATGGACAGCCACAACATGGTCTTGGCCATTCTCGGATAGCAATCAGCGTCGTAAACCTGGCACAAGAAACCCATTCGCAAACTTAATTCAGATTCAGGATATGAGCTTTGTCCTCGAACCATTTCTCTGAAAAAAAATAGAACTCATAGAAATAGATAGTTGCAGTTTGAACATAATACTGTATACAGAGCACTTGTGCAGTAGCTCTATGCTATTGTGTACTTTCATGCTATATTCAATAAAATGATTACTTTTACGTTATACATATGATCTTTTGAATTTGCCCACTTGCAATCGCAACGTTCATAGCTAATTAATTTGCTACACTAATCATGAGTAAGCATACACTAGAATGCTTTACTGGATGATTGCGGCACTAATCCATTTGGAGACAGATTCAAGTAACAAATTATTCTCAGACCTATAAATCGACCAAAATGGCCATAGAAGCGATGCACCTCTTACCTGTTATGCTTCTTTCAGTATAGAAGTCATGGCGGTAACAAGGCCTTTTGAGCTCCTCTCTGATCTCCCTTCATTAGCTTTTTAATGATCCACAAAGCGGGAGTTAAGCCGCCTACAGCTCCACTTCCAGGTACCAAAACCATTACAACTACGTTGACGGCAACAGTCAATATGTCAGCCCCAATCTCCACAACTTTTCCCCAGAATTTTCGTCGGTCTTTCTGCTTGGTTACAAGAAAAGTCACAGAAAATTATCAATCTAGTTAGATTTGGAACTAAGTCAGCATACATATGTGCTACATTCGCCCTTATTATGATGATTCATGAAGCTAACCATTGCTGAATATATGCATGTAGGAGCCAAGATGTATGCAATCTTAAAACAACATTAAAGAAATTTTACAGATTTATGATTAGGTTTAGTATTAAGTAGAAATTAAAGTTGTATGCATGCTCGAAAAAAAGTTGATCAACTCTTGGAAAACGAGAAATCAAGCACATCTGTAGAGAGTTGCATAAATTCTTTTTTTTAAAAAAAATTATTGTATGCAGGAGTTTTTTAAGTAAACTAGCACACAAGCACGTGCGTTTTGCATTAAGTACTTTTTTTTTTTTTTTGGTAAGTTTGAGGTTTTGAACACGAAATCTCTTACTATGTAGTACATGTTACTTTTTCTAATGGTAGGTCAATATTAATTTTTTAGGGATTAATAAACACAAATTTGACTATTTACTGAGTTGTATGTAAGAAAAAAAGTTAGTTGAAAAACCTGATTAGTGCATTTCAAAATACACCAAATAAAACCGCTATAGAATCCAGATCATGAGCCCCAAAATTAAAAAATAAAGTTCATTTTTTTTTAGTTTTAGTTTTTTCCTAGTACTTACTTGTAACTTGAGCTTTCAAGAAGCTTCAAAGTATAGGAACGTATTCTACGAAAAGTTTTGGTTACCTGTTGCTGTTTAAGAATATCATTAATTTTTTGAAAACTTTCTATGATTTTATGCATTTCTGACTTTATTTCGGCAACTAGTTTTTTTTTGTAATCCAAGTTTGCTGGTCTGATGGCAGCATCTGCAAAAGACAAAATTATGATTGTAAAACTGGTGATACACTCTAGGCTAAAGTAATGAATTTTGTGGTGTGGTTTTCATCAGGGAAGCTAGGATTCCTGTATCAAGATTTGCTTTGCAGAGGAAGATAATTGCTGAATCAATGCCAATCTATTGAAGAGCTGGCGTGTTTTGACTCGAGATACTGTGTGTGTGTTTCGTGCACAAAAAGAAAAATCTCATGGCCATCTCTTTCATGAGTGTCAGATACCAGCTACAATTTGGAGGAGAATGGAGTTGTGTTTCGTCTATGAATACCCTTTGATCTGGAGTGAGGAGCAGGATTCAGGAATGGTTATGTCATTGTACTTGGATGCAGTATCAAGCAAAATTCAGGGAAATTGATTTGAAAGTAACAGTTCAGTACATATGGAGACCGAGGAATAATGTTGTTTTCAAGTCTGCAAGAGCTGTGCCTGGAAAGATAGCGTATGCCTATCAGATTGTGTCTTGAGGTGAGGAATATTGTGGCCTAAAGTCAGATTTGTATCTGTTCATAGTCTTAGTTGATATTTTGTGAGGTGTGCAATATTATGTATCTATACATCTATGGAGGTATACCTTCGAGGTGATTCTGGAATTTAGTGACGAATTTGTTGGCTTGCGGAGTAGACAGGTCATGCGTCTTTTTTATCTCTTCTAGAGCTGCTTCCTTGAACATTTGTAGAGTTGCCTGGTACATGTGGTTCACCAGAGACTGGTAGATTGGCTCAATTTCCTGACAGATTTCAAAGCACAAATTTATCTGATGAAAAACTCCTACTGATATTACTGATCATACTTGTGAATAAACTCCAACTAATAGACGTTCTAAAAATTATTATGGCAATTCTTTTCAATCGATGGGTGCACATCTATAGATATAAAACACTATATATATATATGTATATATATATATATATATATAGAGAGAGAGAGAGAGAGAGAGAGAGATTTGAACGTATAAAATTGGAGTTTTCCCTTGGGCAATTGGAGTCCTTGGGTGCCAATCCAATCCAATTGTTGGGTAATTTTCTATAAAGAAACTTAATCACAATACATACCTTCAATAAATTGTCAGTCAGTTGCTGCTTATATTTATCCCTTTCAGTTTGATGATAATGTTGAGTATCATCATCATACCTTAAAAAAAAAAAAGAAAAAAAAGAAGGTATAATCAGCAATCATTCTTGTGATATATAAACAAGGTATAATCAGCAATCCTTCTTGTGATAGACATAGCTATCCATTATTCTAGTAAACACTTTGAGTATGGATTTTTCTAACGAGTGCCTATTGGACATTCGTTAACACACTTAAAATTCACATAATTTGCCATGTATACGTGTATATATACTAATAATTATTATCATTTTTTGCATTTATCTACTTTCTCTATCTAACCTTACTTACCCTCCCTTATACTTATTTATTTTTCCTAATTAATTTTACATGTTAAAAAATATGACATCTAAAATATAATCCTATTGGGCACCCGTTAAATAGACCATATTATATTTATCAATTGGATGAAAACAGTTTAGAGTCAGTCCCAACTAGCTAGTAGATTTCGCGTTAACTGGTTCGACTTAATTTACAGTTATCTAATAACTATTAACTAATGAGGCTCAGGACAAACCAGTTCTGGAATAATACTAAAAATTTTCATCACAGCCATCACTTATGAGACAAGGGTATCACTTACCAGTAACTAACTAAAACCTGAGACTTTATATAATTTTTGATACACTTACTTGGATAAATACTTCTTCCAAATCAAACTGACATTCTTTCCAAAGTGTAGTTCGAGTTCAGGAGACACTCCAACCTGCTCCTTTATCTTAGTCCTCTCTTCAACCTGCTTCTTTATCTCAATCCAGGACTGCGTTGATTTTGAAGTGAAATGAATATGAACAGGATTGTCATTTCTATCACTTCCAAATTGCAAGAATCATCCAGTCGGTTACCTCATTCTTACGAAAACTCTTATACTTCTCGTCAGCAATTTCTTCGCAGCGTACTCCAGAAACCATGATCTACAAATTTGTTGGGGTGGGGGGAGAAAAACGAAATAGTCATGTTTGCAAGAAAACAACAGAGTGAATATATGTTATATGGATAGAATGGAATGTCGGCGATATGTCAATAACAGGTAAAGGGGGAAAATGGAATATATAGATGATTAGATTTTTTTTTTTTTTTTTTTTTACCCTGTGTTGTGGTAAGTCAAGGTCCTTGTCCTTCTTAATATCACCCCAGATCTCTCGGGCACGACCAACAAACTTTGAAGCTGCAATCTTCTCATCAGATGTAGCCCAGCGCATAATCCGGTCTTTAAGGCGAGCCACCTTTTGAATGGAAAATGCAAATCACTAACGTTGATAAGACCTTTGACCAATCAAGCAGCAAACTTTTAATCGTGCATTATTTACTTAGATCCTAATGTATAGGAAGTAATTAGATATGAGACAAACTATAGATACCTCAGCAACGAACTCCTTCTTCAAATAATGAGGCAATGTTACCACTTCAATCTGGGCAATCACCAACAAGATAGCAGTGTAGCACTTAACATAAGCCCAATATGAACTTGGTCTATAGTGACATTAATCATCTCAAAATCAAGTGGGGGCTGACAGGGATAGGTCCAAGTGGATTCTTGGATCGACGGAGACTGAACCACCATCGGACTAAACGGGTACTCAGTAAATCTGCTAATTTTTTAGTAAAAACCACATATTAGTAGTAATGGATGGGAGATAAAGTTCGAACCTTTAATCTCCCATCCTACAAAGGCACGTAAAAGCCATTGTGGTGGCCAACAACTCAATAGCCTGTTTGTTATTTTGAGGTTATCTTGCTTTCAAACTTTTTATAACAAGCAAGTGAACCTAATCGTGAGAGGATTACTTGTAAACTTGGTCCGACCCTAATCTATTCTGACAAATGTACCAAAAGAGCTCTCCCACCCCCAAAAAAAAAAAAGAGGTTAACTATAAGAAGGGTGTAAAGTACATGATAAAGTTTTGATGTTTAGTTTCTTTCGAGTCAATAAGTCATTGATGTTTGATTTTAAAAAGATGGATGCATTGACTTTGTTTTAATTTTTAAGGGAGGAAGCATGAATTGGCATTCATTAACAATTAAATATTGGAGGGAAAAACTTTGAAGAAGTAAAATCAATTTTCTGTAGATAAAACCAAACTGCGAGAAATGTTTGGATTAAAAAGAAAGAAGACGATATTTAGCACCAAATAAGAGATGGTGCCCAGAAAGTATTTGCAATAATCTTGTAGCTCTCACTTTGAAGTATTCTTTTAGTGCAGCTTTCTGTAGAGCTTGGGGCTTGAACGTTTCTTCCCATATCTGCAAGAATATATAATTCGGGTCATCAAGATCCTCAAAAACTCAGGTCAGAATACACAACAATCAAACATGAGTTTTACCTTTTTAAGTCCGGCCACCAACTGCTTTTCCAACATGTGCAATGGGACCTAGTTCCATATTAATCAATCAAACTTGTGATTATGATTTACTTTGTCAAGGAAGAAGGATAGGATGATAGAGATGAAATTTTATACCTCGTTTTTATCACGAAGGACAAAGACTAGATTCACTTTTCTTGAAGTATTAAATTTTCGAATCATCATCACCTGAAAAGGTTAGCATGAATATTGTAAAACAAATACGTGCAAAAGAGATAATTTAGGGCAATGCAACGCCAGGAATTTGTGAAAATCTTTCAGGATTAATTACAAATAACACCCTGGAAACAATCCATGATTTCCACTTTACCCCTCTTAATTAGTGTTTGTTTGGAATCTTTGGATCAATTTTCTCTAGTATGTATGCTGTCTTCCCGGGTTGAATGTTTCGGCGTGCGTTGGAAGATTATTGAAAATTTAAGGGGTTGATTCATCAAATTGGACAATACAAAACACAAACTGATGAGGAGAAAACTTTGGTAACTTACCAATATTCAATTAATTAGGAGGATCGATTATAAAGCTTTATATGCTAATTTTAGGACACGATATATAGCAGTGAATGACACAAATTTGAATAGATCGCTGGAATTAATTTCCCGGAAAGCAAATTATCATCGAGTCATGTATATAACGTACCTCGAATACAGCTCGTAAAAGTGGCCATCCCCCGCCGTTATGAAGATTAACATTGTCACATCTCCTGCTTGGTAAAGAGAAGTTCCTCAGCAAAGGTATCCAATATGGGGAATCAATTCATTAGTTTCTTTAACTTTAATAACTGCTACTCAAGACTCTATCTGGACCCTGAATTTTACAAGATGGTTAACTTATAAACTAAGACATTAGGTTTTAAAATGTTCTCATGCCTATTCTCCAGCGGTGCAGTTCTATTAACAAGTGGGAATCATATGAGCTCCATGTAAGTGATTTAATAGTAGGAAACCAAAGGACTACCATCCTTCTTTCCTCCATCACTTGCCTCTTCCTTTCCCCTCACATTTTAGGCCAAAAACCCAACATGCCTATGTTGGATTCGGCATTTTTAGTGGAAAACAAAAAAGATTGGATTATCCTCAAAATAAGTTTGTTTATCACCTTTTCATGCCTTCAACCAGCTCTATATCTTGTATACATCACATACGAATGCGATAGAGTATTATTTGTGTACAAATATTTCTTAAAAAATGCAATCCAAAGGTACTTCTATGGCGACAACACTTTGCTATGGTAACTCACAAATTTGTGGAGGCAAAGTGTGAATCTCATGAAGATACAAGTAAACATTTTCATTTTTAACCATTAGTCGTGGGGGCTAGTGGTCAGGGAATTTAACTCCCACCTAAGGTTAAAAAAAATAAACATTTTCATTTTCATTTTTGTGGGATGAATTTAATAATTCCAAAATTAGTGTACACATAACTTGTAAGAAAGTTGTGGAATGATAATACGTTAGTAAGGTAATGCATAAGGAAAGATTTTTTTTCTTCAAAATATGAAGAAAGGAAATTATTATTAGAACTTCTAGCTAAATAGCAGTACCCACTAAGGAAGTTATTAATTAGACATTTCAGCTAATTAAATAGTAGTTTTCTTTACTTTTTCCTAAGAAATTTTAGTTCATAGGTAAACTTTCATTTATATGCACAAAAGTGGATGCATTTGCTTTTATACAACAAGATTATACAACAAGATAATTCCAGATGAGCCCTTAACTCTAATAAATTTCGATGGGGCAGGCAGAATTCAACATGGAGAACCAAAAAGAGAGAGAGAGAGAGAAAACGCCCAATCACATTTGGTTTATTGTTTTCTTTTAAGCATATTATTATATTGTAAAAACCAAGCATTATATGTGCTTTTAAATTTTAAGTAAACTCACATGTTCATTATAACTGTGTTTGAGACAGCCAAGGAAAAAAGCGCTGTTTGTTTCTCAAATGCGACATCCTCCTGCAAAAGATCCAAAATAAATAAGGAAAGGAATGGACCCTCTTGTATCACATTCATAAGTTATAACCAAAATTAGACTTTCACAAATTAGACACTAAAATTCATTATCAAGACAATAGATTGGAAATCACCCCTCGATCACAGCCATCACTACCCTCTGTGTCAATAACAAGAACTGGAGGGCCACCACTTGGTGATGGGCGTTGTGTCATCCAAATTCCCTTTGTCGTTTTAGTCCTGAAAACATTTAAAACTTTTTTTTTTTTAGGGAATAAACCAATTATGGACTAAAACTTGTTTCTGTGCTCAAAACAGAAGAATGATGGAAAAAAAAAAAACTCTCTCAGCGTGTGTGTGTGTGGGGGACTAGGGGGTTTTCAATTTGCATACATTCCCTTCTTAGCATCCATCACTTCAAAGGCAGTTCCGAACAGCTCATTCAAAAGCGTACTCTTTCCTGCATGGACCAAGAACTTGTAACTAGTAGAAAAGGAAACATAGAATTGCGAAATGAATCTAAGATAAACTTAAGATGTTAGGTAAATTACCGGTACTTTGATTGCCGATGATGGCCACGACAGCAGCCGCAGGACTATCAGCGGTCAGCTTAATTTTTTTTTTGAAATCCCCGTTTCTACTGATGAGCAAAGCCGGTTTAGAGGGTTTTTCTGTAGAAAGCATTTTCATCTCCAATTATTGGTGAAAGTTTTGAGTGTCAAAAAATAGATTACAAGAGAATCTTTTGCTAGAAAAAGCAACCCTTTTCTTTAAACATCTACCTTCCTTGATTAAGCAAGTTAGAGCTACGTGAAAATTGGATATTCAAACAGAAAGAAAGCAAGTTCTTACCCATGTCCATGAGATGAGGATATCAGCTGAGAAGAGATGAGGAAAGAACCAGACAAGTTTTCTCTCTTGATTCTCAATGGTCAAGCAATTCTATTCGTGTATGTGCATAAGGCTTTATTAGTGCAATCTGCTGTACGTGTGGGTCCAGATTCTTTTTCTTCTCAGCAGATGATGGGATTTGATAAGAAGGTGCTGGGATTTGGTGGACGAGGGGCTCATCAACCTATATAGTAAAAGCGCGAATGGATCTGTTAAGAATGGTGGTTTTTGTGCTGATGTGGCTGGATTTTATTGGCTGGAGTTTGGTCGTCAATCACGTGGGACTCGCGTGCTTTCGTTGGGAGAAGAAGTGCAATTCTTGCTGTTGTCCGAAAGAAGAAAACTTGGACCTTCGGTTTTTGAGAAGAAACATTTCTCTGTAGCATGACCACCATTTCTCTGGTCAGCAGATTGCCAGCTGAGTAAGCTTATTATGATGGTTGGTGATGGTTTGATTGATGGCAAGTGCTGGGTGATGGGCTCAATGTGGGTTGCCATTATTTTACGGTATTGCCCTTCTTTAACAAATATGTACTAAGCGGTGGTGTGCCAAAACATTGGCCTTGTTGCTGACATGTCACTTTGGTATTGGACGAATGGTGGTCGTTCTGGTCATGAGCATTGCACGTGCTTTTGCTTAAAAAACTTGGCTGTTATCTTTTGGACAGAATACCGTGTTCAGTAGCCCCAAGGTCCTTCCTCAATCTATAGCCTTCTTTGTACGTGTGGGTCCAGATTCTTTTTCTTCTCAGCAGATGCTGGGATTTGATAAGAAGGTGCTGGGATTTGGTGGATGAGGGGCTCAAGGTGAAAGGGGCTGGTATTCTCCTTCTTTCTTGGTTTCTCCTTTCATTTTTCTCTTTTTCCTTCATCGCCCTTTTCCCTCTTTCGTCTCTTGAGTGATAATGGTTAATTTCTTCTGTTTTTTTTGCCTTTTTTTCCTGATTTTTTTCCTTGCTAAAAGCAACAAATCATTTTCTCCTCTCCTCTACGTCTCTATTTGTTATGCTATCAGATTTTTTGCTATTAAGAAAACTTCATTTTTTTTGGCCTCATAATCACTGAATCTCCATTATAGTTCATTTTCTAATATGATTCATTTTTTTTTCTTTAAGGATTTGCCTTGCATGTTTCATCAATAAATATTTTCATCATTTTAATCTGGACTCGGAGTGATGGCTAATTTTTTGTCAATTTTTTTCCTTTTGTTAGGTGGGAAAGGATGATGGAGATTGAAGACGAACTGATGATGATTTTGATGGAGGTTTCGACATTCTTCCATGGTTCCAGATGTTTTACTGGAAACATTAACCTTTACCGACCATGTATGTGTGTGTGTGTGTGTGTGTGTTTTTTTTTTTTTATGGTTTCCTTTTTCTTTTCTAAAACTCACTTTCTTCTTGTTGTGATTGCAGATGTAAAGAGTTGCATTTTTGCCAATTGACATATATTTCAAAGGTAAGGCTTTAATATTTTGCTAAGTAATTATGCAAGGAAATTTGTGTTAGGTTGACCAGAGTAGTTGTCGGACCCGTAGATTAAAAAATTTGTAGGGACTTTATGTTATGGTAGTTTGAATTCTATTTCTCTTTCATAGTTTTTTGTACTAGAATTTATTCTTGACTTTTTGGTGAAAAAGAATTGCTTTTGATGGTTTACTGATAGGGTATAATTTGTTAGTAATTTTATTATTAATTTTCCCTTTTATTCCTGACAAATATTGTGTTAATTGTTGATATTTACTTATATTTGGTACCATGACTTAATTTCAGGAATGAAACAAAAAACTACCAAAAAGGAGGGACTTTATGAAGAATATGGAGACTTCTAAGGACTTCAAACCTTGGGTCCTTGAATTGGTGGGGAACCACAAAGCTAGTGGAAGATATTTGGTCATTTGGGTCTTTCAAAGAAAGCAACGTAGAGAGACTTGGACCAAAAAGTAATTTGGAGGCTTTGTCCACATGTGTGGGGACCACAGGAAATTGCTTTTAGGCTTCTTTCTTTTGGTTTTTTCAGGGAAGACGTACAGAAGAAAAGGAACATCTCTTAGACGGCTTTAGTTTTAGCTTTTTAGTTTAGTTCTAGTTTTTCTCTTTTGACTGGTCTCTGACACACGCTAGGTGTTCGACAATATTCTCCAACGGGAAAAACATCTTTTATTCCTTACTTTCTAGTAAAAACCGCCATGCCTTTGCAATCAATTATTTCGTGTGGTGATTTAATTATGCGGCGTGGCTAAGTCTTCTTTCTAGTCAAGGGACAACGGATGCTTTGGGTCGTCTAAAAATTGTGAGATCGTTTTAATTTAATCTTTTTCTCTTATTTATTGGTATTCGCATATTCCTTGATTGCTATGCTTATGGTTATTTAATTAATTGATTGTCTTGGATCCAGATAATTAGTTGATTGGGTAATCTATTGTCAATTAGGGCATTAAATCCGTAATTGTTTAATTGCTCTAAAATAGTGACAACTGGCATGATTAGGTTTGTGTCAGGAGAATACGCGGGCTAATCTAAAATAACCCTGGTAGTGCGTTATTTGATTAGAATAGGGCTCCTCTAATACGTAAGGCAATTGGGGAATTAAATTTTATGGGCGTACTTAGGATTATTTCTCAATTAGAGTAGTGATTAACAGGCGTACCTTAATCATCGACACAGTAAGGAGGGGTTGACTGTCATCGCTTGTTTGGCAGTTATAACCTATTTATTAGTAAATAATTGGAATTGTCTTTGCATCAATGATCAATTAGGTGCACCATTGCTGAAGTTAGTCATTGGCTAGATCTTTACTTAATATTATCTTGATTTTAGTAATTTGTTATTTAATTTCTAGTTGGCTATTTTATTTTTATTATTTTACTTTGAGTTGAATTCGTTAAATTGTTACCCCTGATATAAAAACACCCCCCTTGTTACTGTGAATTTGAAAAGAAATAATTACTCTCAGTCCCTGTGGATTCGACCCTGCTCACCACTATCTACAGAAATTATTCTTAGTTTGAGCAGGTATTTATTATTGCACAGGCTGACAACCTGTCAATTTTTGGCGCCGTTGCCGGGGACTAGCGTTATTATTTGTTTTTTTCTTAAATTCATTTTTTGTCCTAATTTCCTGGTTTCCTTCTAGTGTATGCCTCGATCTTCTCGTACAGGTGATTTGATTTTTGACTTGAGGTAGAGAAGACCGCGCGTAGAACGAGGAAGGAAACCAGACAGCTCAGAGAGGAGCACTCCAGTGCTGCATCTCAGAGACCTGAGCCAGGAGTTGACCCAACAGATTCGTTTGGTGACACTTCAAGTGACTTTGGCCAGGAGGAAGTAACCATGGCTAATGCACGAACATTAAGGGAGTTGGCTGCCCCTAATTTAAATCAGCAGCCTCTATGCATTACCTTCCCCATCTTAAATGATAGCACTCCATTTGAACTAAAATCTGGTCTGATTCAGCTTTTACTCTCTTTTCATGGTTTACCAGGTGAAGAGCCGTATAAGCATTTGCAGGAATTTGATGTCGTGTGCAACAGTATGAAGCCCTCGGGGATCTCAGAAGAGCAAATAAAAATGCGGGCATTCCCTTTCTCATTGAAAGACTCTGCAAAGGACTGGTTATACTACCTGCCACCAGGTAGCATTACCACGTGGGATCAGTTGCAGAGAAAATTTCTAGAGAAATACTTTCCTGCATCCAGGGCTGCAAGTCTAAGGAAAGAAATTTGCGGGGCTAAGCAGCACCCAGGGGAGTCACTCTATGAGTATTGGGAGCGGTTCAATAAGTTGTGCCATAAGTGCCCCCAACACCAGATAAGCGAGCAGCTGCTCATACAGTATTTTTATGAGGGGCTCCTTTCCAGAGACAGGAGTATAATTGATGCTGCAAGTGGAGGGGCACTGGTGAACAAAACCCCTCAGGAAGCACGGGAGTTAATAGAGGGGATGGCAGAGAATTCACAACAATTCGGTACAAGAGAGGATGTCCCAATACGTAAGGTGAATGAGGTAGAGACACCCTTTATGCAGCAGCAGCTAACTGAGTTGACCGCGTTTGTAAGGCAACTGGCTGTGAAAAATGCATCACAAGCCAGGATATGCGGGATTTGCACTGGTCACTCTGCAGACATGTGCCCAATGATTCAGGAAAAAACTGCAGAACAGGTGCATATGGCCGACCACGCGCCCGCGCCAAGGAAGCAGTACGACCCTTACTCAAGCACCTACAACCCAGGGTGGAGAGATCATCCCAACTTCAGTTATGGAGGGAATATGCAATCCAACTTTACACCGAACAGGCAGTCTAACTTTGTGCCAAATAAGCCATCAGGGTACCAGCAGCAATACCAACCCCGACCACCTCCGCCCCCAAGCTCTGGTCCATCTTTAGAGGAAATGATGAAACAAATGATGACAACCATGGCGCAAAATCAACAAAGGGCGGACTCCGAAATGCAGGATATAAGGAATCAGATAAGTCAAATGGCCACAACAATCAACCATTTGGATTCCCAGAACCAAGGTAAATTGCCATCTCAACCCGAATTAAATCCAAAGAACGTGAGCGTAATGACTCTAGGGTGCGGGAAGGAAATTTAAGGGCCTGAACCTGTGATCCCTAAGGATAAGGATGAGGAAAAGATCGAAAATGAGCTTGAAAGGGAGGATAGCAATGGTGCAGATCTAAAGGTACTTCCTGACCCAGTAATTACAGCTAAAACTAACCCGCCTCCTTTTCCTAGCAGGTTGGAAAAATCGAAGAAACAGGATAAGGAGAAGGAGATCTTGGAGGTTTTTCGCAAGGTTGAGATAAATATCCCCCTCTTAGACGTAATTAAGCAAGTACCAAAGTATGCCAAGTTCCTAAGGGACTTGTGTGTCAACCGAAGGCGGTTGAGGGGAGATGAACGGGTTATTGTTGGGGAGAATGTGTCAGCGGTCCTGCAGAGAAAGCTCCCACCAAAGTGCGGGGACCCAGGTATGT